ATTGTCACCTTGAGTTGGGTTGAATGAAGAGCTCTTTTGAATCCGATTCGGTATGATGGAATTCGATACAACACCACAATTTGCCACTCCCACTCCTTTGTGTAGTTGCTCGCGAGTAGTTACTGGTTTGCGCAATTTGTCAGAATACATTTCAGATGGGTCCATACTTCTTCGGGCAATTCTCGGCTCATTCTTTTCTCCAGAAGGTTGGCCTATGTCTGCCCTACGGGGCAAATATGGGAATGTTCCATCTTCTGTCGTTTGAGATTGTCCTTCAACAATTGGACCTTCTAGTGCTTTATTTGGTATGTCATTGTCAGTAGGTTGCGATAAAGAAAATTTTTTCTGATTTGTCCTCACTTTGCGTACTTTAATTGCTTGTTCAGAGCATTCTGACTTTGTCTGCAATTTCTTATCGACACACTTTTGCTCCTCGGAAGTCATCAATGGGCTATTTGTTCTTGCCACGAAGGGAAGATCACTTTTTGGATGACCAACCAAATCCATTTCGCTACGAGAGGGATCATACTTTGAAGAGCTTTCGCCTAAGTTAATGACTGACGGCAGAATGGATTGATGAGTCTGCTGCTTCAATTTGGCAACCTGAAGGAGGGATTCATCAAGCTGACTAGACGCTTGATCAGCTTCCCGCGCCTCCAAAGTCTTCAAAGTTAGAGGATGGGAGAATTTCAAGTAAGGAATAAGCTGTTTCTTGGCACGCAACGGTCGTCCAAGCCCCTGCAATGAGTCCACCATCTCACCTAAAGTCGTAGTCTGCGAAAGCACTGCACAAAAGGGAACTGCTTGTAGAGCGCTTCTGTTCTCTACCAGTCCAAGTGGCTGTTCGTTGGATTTTTCCGTGATCTCTGGGAAACTGGCTTGTCGTGGCAGGTTTCCCAATTGCTGGGGACTGGAGAAAACCGGATCCATCTGCTTTCTCAGAGCATAGGTCGGCTTTGCTGACGTGGTATGCAAAGACGTGGACTGCTCTTTAGAGCTGATACTCGTCGAGGCCGACTGAAGAGCAAAGACTGACTGTGTCATTCTACCGGGAACCGAAGTCTTCCGCTTCTGGAGCGAGGGCAGCTCACGCGAACTGCCACGTGGACGCTCGAGGTAGGAACGGTCAATCTGTCGGCTCAGCCGCATCTCGTTCTTTGTCGCCCTGACGTTGTCCCCACTTCGGAGGAGGATGCTCTCGGCAGAGATTGTGGATACTGATCGGCCAGATTCACGACCTGCGCTCGTAGACATTTTGATATTTTCTGAAGGGCCCGCCGTCTGGCTCGAATCCGTTGCCTTGGCCACCAAAGAGCAATTTTGCTCTGAGTTGGGCCAGATCAGTCTGGGCTGCTGTTTGAGGCTCTCCAAAGAGTCCGGATCACCTTGGCCAGTGGTCACCGGGAACTGGGAGACAGGATGGGTTCGTTTTGGGCTCGATGAGTCAACTAGCAGGTTTGCGTTGTCATTAGTTGCAGAGCTGTATTCTGAGTGTGACTTCGCGGATCCTGATCTTGGTTCAAAACTAAGACCCGTAGAACCGGTTTTTTTGTCAGTAAGACTGTCATGCAGCGCCGTCTCTTGAACAGGTAATGAGTTGGACCGCGAGTGGTCGCTTGAGTTCAACTTGCCAACCGACAATTTGCTAGTCGGCTTTGAGCGATTGCCCGGATACCGATCACTCCTTGGAGGAAGGGGCGGTGCTTGTCTGTCCTTGTGGGATTCGTCGAGAGAGGAGAGGATAGTATCGGCTGGAGATTCGGCGCAAGTGGGCTCCATATTATCCCTATTCTGGATGATCATCACGATCGACGGCTCTTTTAAGGCCTTTTTACTCCTCGGAGGCACCTCTGGCGCCGGCCCCAAGAGGTCTTCATCGTCCGACTCTTGGGGTTGCACGGACTTGCCGAAAGTATAAATTCGTCTATTCAGGTTGCGTCTGCCAGACGATTCTACTTCCTTTGT